AGACTCCACAATTAACAAGGGCAAATAAACATTTATCTGAAATCCACTAGGGTCCATATAGTCAATCACAAGCAAGGCCACTGTAACGGGCCAAGAGAAGACAGGACTCCTGGAGTCAACACATGAAAAGGGAAAGCAGAGAGATTCCCTGGAATCAAAGGTCACTGCTGACTCTGATGACAGGGAAGAAAATTTGAGGAACTCTCGTCATCGTTCTTCTTAACTTCCACTTAAAAGAAGACAGAAGCAGGTCACCTCAGCAGCCAGAAGCTACCCTGTAGATAATAAAATAAATCCAGCCAAGATGTCTGTGGCTGCTGTTCCAGTTTCTAGTGCAGATGGTGGTAATTAGAAATCCAAGCACCTTTCTTTGAAATGCTAGGTATTTCTAGGCAGTGTGCGAAAAAACCCTTAATAAAATATGTTTCATGCATAGTGAATGGTGAAAGCGCTTCTAAAAATTTCCTATCAACGTGCATCAAAATACCAAGATTCAAGCTAGCAAAATGGAATTTCCAAGAGAGTCTCAAAACCAAACTGCAGTTTTGCTTTGCCTTCTCACTCCCAGAATCCTGAAGCTCATGCTGCCCTCTTGTGTCCAAAGTGGAAAGCAGAGTGGATCTTTCAGCAAGGAAAACCTGATTGACATTTCAAAGGGAAATCACCTGCTAATATCTTTTTTTTTTTTTTTTTTTTTTTTGTGGTTGGTTGTGGGGCTTGAACCCTGGGCCTGGGCACTGTCCCTGCCCTCTTCAGCTCAACGCAAGCAATCTACCTCTTGAGCCACAGCACCACTTCTGGTTTCTAGTGGTTTACTGGAGATCAGAGTCTCACAGACTTCTGCCCAGGCTGGCTTTGAACCGCGATCCTCAGATCTCAGCCTCCTGAGTAGCTAGGATTACAGGTGTGAGCCACCGGCTCCCAGCACCTGCTAACTTCTAAATGACTTCCATTGGACCTGTGATTTGGGTGCCCTGTAGATTAAGATCTGATAGGACTGAATTGGCTAGAATGGGGGCAAAATTTGAGGAGGTACAGGTAGGTACAGTACAGGGCATCAATCACAATGGCAAAAGATCTGTTCAACTCAAGATACAAGGAGCATAGGAAAAAACAATGCGAGGCTCTGTACCAGACACACAACACCAGTACTGAAATGCATGGAAGGAGCAGTGAATAGAAAACACAGATGGGTGAGAAGAACAGGGAAAGAAGGAAAGAAGAAACATGAAATCTGGCTCTTAGCTTTCAAAGGTCACGTTGTTTTTAGATCAAATTCCACCCCCAAAGAGTTTATCATTTATCAGATTATGAAAGATGAGTAGACAGCAAGGCCTCATATTACAAAAACAACAGGAGACAAACTTCATACCACCAAACATGGTTCCAAAGGGAACATGACTGCTTATCTTCTGACTCAGGAGGTGTCACCTTGGTATTCAGCCATCTAGAAAACTGTACCTCGCAGGCTTGCTCTGCTGGCCTCAAGTAAGTGACCTTGGGATGCAGATGGGTGCCCCAACTAGTACAGCTGCCCAGAGCTGTCTATGGGGATGGTTCAGGTCTCTGTATAAGTACAAAGGTCTTCCACTGATGAGTGACAGAGAGGAGACTCTGGATAGATGTGGTATATAGAGAGACACCTTCCTGGGATGGGATGCTGAGGAATGAATGAATGACAAGAGTTCTACATTCCAGATCAGGTCACTGAGAACATTCCAACACAAGTAAAAACTGCAGATGGGGATGGAAGGGAAATTTGGCCCAAGCTAGACTCAGGCAGACCCTGTGGCTGCACTTGGAGTTTCTATACTGCACCCCTACACATCACCCAGCTCAGACCACTACAGACTAGCAAGCATCCCTCCCTTGGTTCTCTATAATCTAGGAGGACGTAGGGATGCCGAGTTCATAGGAGGCTCTTCCTGACCCCAAGGGCTCCAAAGCAAGCTGGCACTGAAGAATGACATATAGAGAAATTAAAAACAAAAATACAAAAACATAAACTTCTTATCTTCCTACAAGGCTCAAAGGTCGTGTGTGGTAATCCAGGAACGTGCAATTGTGGGACACTTCTGTGTATGTTGAGCAGTGAGAGGTGACAGCATGTGCCCCCTGCAACCCCAGAGGGAAATTCTTTCACCTACATTCTATAACCATCACCATGCAGCAAGGAATCGTGGAAACAAGAGCACATCATTTACAGTCTGGGTGTATCCTTCCCTTGGTTAAGAACTGCAGAAGTTTTATTCAAATTAAAATTTAAATCTAATTCTTTTAAGTTAATTTCTGGTTAAATCCACCCCTAAAAAGAGTACATTAACGGGTGACTTTTATAAACATTTGGGGCACACGAAGGCATACCTTTGGGACATGGTCTTGGGCTCCTATTTCATTGGAGGGAGCAAATCCTTCTAACAGACACAGAAGGGAGAGGCACGAGGTAAGATCGGTGGACTTCAAGACTTAGGGTCGATGTGTACTTTGTGTCCATGTATGAGAATGGAACAGTGAAGGTTGTTGAGATTGGCTTGGGAAGAGGGGAGGGGGATGGGAGGAATGACGGAAGGGGAGAAGAGTCTGATTAAAGTACATGATATGCATACATAGAAATGTCAACATAAAATCCTCTGTAAAACCAACTGATGCTAATGTCTAAAAAGGTGGGAAAAAATGTTTCATGTGGACCTAAATCCCAAATAACTAATAAATCAAAATGAGAAAAAGCTGATGATGAGTTCTGAACACAGAGAGCCCTGGTTAACGAGAGTCAATTGCATTTGTAGGCTTCTCACAGAGTACAGTCCTACTGAGAGACTCGAGAATTGTGTCTTGATTTTGTAACTGGCCAGGCCGAGAGGCATAATTCTGACCGCTTTCCAGCCCCTGAGATATATTCAGACCTGTATGGCACTTCTATAGTGCCTGGACTAAACAACATGTGTAAAAAAAAAAAAAGTCTGCTTCCAGAACTGGAACTGAAGGTGATTATTCAGTTCTCACAGTATTTCAGTAAGGTCAGTGTGAATCATACCCCCATTTCAGACAGGAACACCAAGACATTGGGATATTAAGTCACTAGCACGTGTCCCTTACTGTAACTACAGGCAGCTGGGATTGAGCCTGGGAAGTGGGCACCAGTATCCACACTTTGAGCCACAACTCTGTTTTGGGAAACTGCCAACAGTGTTCACGTGCTTTGGCCTGATACCCCAGCTAAACAATGACCAAGCCAAAGATATCTGAGGGCTCCCTCTAGGCTAGCTCCCTGTCACTGCAGACACCAGCCATTATCACCTACATAAACCAAGCCATTCTAGGTCTCACCTCCAAGACTCCTGGCTAACCAGGGTGGGCAAATATGGTAATGACCAATTCTTCACAGAACTTGGGCCCCACAGTGTACCTTCACAAACAGATGGCCAGAGAGTCACCAGTGAGAGGAAGTCATCGGTCCACGCATGTAGAGACTGAAGATTTCCACATAGCTACCACAAAACCCCCACAAGGCAGCCAGAATCTGCCTTCAAAACACAACCTTCATAGACAGTTCTAGGTGATGCTAACAATAACAAAAGTGAAGAAGAAGACTTATTTTAAGATGCGGGGTTAAAAAATTATTGAGGAAGACAGGCATGGTGATGCATGTCTGTATCCCTTAGCAACTCAGGAGGCTGAGGTCTGAGAATCAAGGTTTGAACATAGCCAGGGCAGAAAAGTCCAAGAGACTCTCATCTCAACTAACCAACTAACCAGCAAAATGCTAGTGGTGGAGCTGTGTATGTGGGGGGGGGGGGGCGTTGGCGGGGTAAGAGTACCAGTCTTGAGGGAAAACGCCAAACAAGAACACAAATCCCAAAGACTGATACTGGGCCATTTGTAAGGAGATCGAAAGACTTGGAAAAACGTATAAAGGGAAGTAAGTCAGACCAGAGAAACAAAGGTTGCATTGTTTTCCTCATTTGCAGTAGCTAGGATGTGTCTATGCATCTATAAAAAGTAAACATACTTGGTAGTATGTAAGTAGTTACAAATGAATTAACCGAAGTACAGTAGATTGTATGGAGAGCTCAAATAGTGTAATTATTTAGAAATACAAAGTCAAAGGCCCATAAAATAAATACCAGGAAATGTGTACTTGTAAGAGAGGGTAAAGCAGGATGGTGGGGAAGGGAGAGGGAGTGGAGAATGTGGTCAAGAATTCATTGTACATACCACAAAATTAAGAAAAGCAAGGGAAGGGGCAAGACAAAGGGGGTGAAATGAAGGGTGACACTGATTAAAATGCACTATATTCATAAACTACTTTGTTATATGGCACTTTCTTTGTACAACTACTTAAAGACGATAAACTGAAAAAAAGAACGGAAGTCCTTGAGTTCAAGCCCCAGTACTGGCTGGCGTGTGCATGCGTGTACGCGCATGTGCGCACGCACACACACACACACACACAAAGTTACTGAATGGGATGTTGACATTTAACCATCTTAGGTTTTATCATTTCACATCAGCCTCATGGTGATGATCTGTTCAAGAGCCCAAGAGTTCTAGAAATGGGTCAGGCATCCCAAGGAAAGAAGCAAACACACTGCTGCCTCCTTTGCAGAGAGCATTTCTCCTAGAAAGACCCTTCCCAGAGGTGGCACCAGCTCACGCCATTTGGACAAAAAAAAAAAAAAAAGCCAGCACCATGTCACAGTGTGCCTGCATTAATACACACTTGCACAGGGCACATACAACAGGAGGATTTCCCAAATCATGCCGCAATGCGAACATCTGTTTATTTTTCCACACACATATACACTGAAATGATCGCAGGCTCTGATAACTTGGATTTTCTCTGGGAGGAGAATGGTATCAGTGAAGCTTTCTGTAAAAATGAATCAACACACAGTGGTTTTCTCCAACTCTCGCCTCTACTTTTAAAAGACTGAACTATCCTTCAGATGCTCCATGTGTTCATGAGAAGTATTTGCTGAGAAATATGGTGTCTGACTTACCGACTGGATTTCTATCGAAGAACAACACTGGGGCTTTCAGAATGGACTCAAACATTTTGTTGTGCAAAGTTTGTGAAGCATTAACAAGGACGTAGAAGACCAGCAGAGATCTGGCTATGCCGAAAAGGACTGTGGCTACAGTTAAACCTAAAATAAAGAAATAGCACTTAATAGAAAGCAGGATCTCTGCTTTGTCCTTAACAATGCTACAAGCAGGTCAAGTGATTTATAAAGATATTGCTCATTTCATTCCATAAAGCATCAGGATTCTACCAAAAAACAAAAAGTATTTGCAACATAACACTGTCAAAGAATTAAAAGTTCATTTTTGTTGTCTCATTTAATGAAACTCTGTGGGAGAGAATGAAGTGTAAACTGTCATTTCATCCCAGGTTCTCCAAATCCAATGACAAGTTTGATCAGAGCCGACCTTCCCTCCTCTACATTGCAAATCTTCCTATTTACAACATGGCCAATGGGCAGATACCATGGTATGCTTGATACCAATGTGTGAGATTAACAGGACAGGAGAAATGATTTACCTTTTCCTTGTAGAAAATGCCCAAGGAACTTCAAAGAATTTGAAAATACCACATTAGGTTGCAAATGGAAAAACTCTTACAAACTTGAATTGCAAGAAAGTATCAAGTATATATTAATATACAATAAGTAATCTAAATAAGCAACTAATCTCTGACCAGATAACTTAATAAAAACACAAAAATGTTTTTGAATAAACACAACTTAAATTGCATATCTTATTAAGGCATGCATGAGTACCCAAAGAACCTTAAAGAACTTTTCCTGATGTTTGTTTTTCATTCACTCATTCATTCGTTCATTCATATTTGTCTAGGGCTGAAACTCAGAGCTTCAAGCATGCAAGTTAAGCACTCTACCACTGAGCTACATTCCTAGCTTCTACATTCCTAATATCTATTCGTTCACAATGCTACAGAGTGAAGATTTCTGTAATAAGTAGTTCTCCTTCTAATAACATCAGTATTACTTAAAAATCTGAAAGCTAATTCCCAACACCACCAACAGGCATTTTCCTTCGTCTGGCCCCATCCTACGTGAATATTTAATAAAACCCCTTCCCCTTCTCCTTTAGGTTTCCCTTAGTGCCTAGATTTGGATGGAAAACAGCTAATGGATTTAGGATTTCTTTGCAAAACGGCAACAAAACAAGCATGAAATTTTAGTGAGTGGATTCTCACAAAGATAACTCACTGTATCCCAGAGGAAAACTTGTATGAGCATTTCCTGTGGAAATACTTAAAATTTTAAATGAGGATTTCCATTAGAAAGTATGTACTGCAACATATATTTCCAAGCACTGCTAGGAAAACTGAATGCTGTGGTATTATTAGTGGGGCAAGCCAAATGTTAAATGCATCCCACAGTTGGGCATGTGATAACATTGTGATCTGGAGGGAAGAGAGAAGGAGTTCTAATTCCCAGACGCTGGGTTTCTCCCTGCTCAGCTTCCCTCTTCAGTAATTAGTGAAGCCCAGGGGATGAGCAGTGGTGAAGGGAGCTTTGCATATCTGGGATGGAATAATGCTTTTATTGGGGAAAGGGGGAGGAGGGGCTTGCTGGAGGATTTCATCCAAGTTCAATAAAAGCCAAGGTTTATTCAGACAGAATTGGAACAATCCGAACCACAGAGTGGGGATCCGTTTCTAATCCCCTGCCCGTCCATAGAATGATAGGAGATTTAGCTAAAGCAACCTATTAGAATAGACAATAGCCACATATTTCCAGTGGCTGATTTCCTGAACGCTCAATCCTAGTTTAACTTTCAAAATCCAGTAACAGAGTAAATTAAGAGTCTTCATTCAACCTCTTTCTTCTAGTCGATTTTAAAAAAAATAATTATTCTAATTAATTCACAGAGTAAATGCGACTCAGACTCCTAATCTGTGAAGACATTACTGAATTACTCCTCCAAGCCCAAGGCACCCACACAGGCTCATTGTAAGCACCTCCAGCTCTCATATAAAAGACCAAATGATTAAACTTTACCTGCATACATTCCTAAGTACCAGTTAAGATCTAGCTGCTTCGTTACATTTCCTTCCCCATTTAAAGTGACATTCAGTTCATTTGCCCTACGGAAGTAACAAGGGAGAAAAAATAATATTAAACTATAGTTAGAACTGAGATGAACACACACACACACACACACACACACACACACACACACACACACGAACCTAAGTTTGGAAGAAATATCCTATTCTGGTTCACACAGTCTTTTGTACAGCCACCTTATAAAAATTCAACTTGAATCCCGACTTTCAGTCAGGATTCAATACATGGCTGAAGACAGACGTGGGCAGAGACTATTATGGGTCACACTCCACCAGCAAGCACTTCCGTTTTTCTCCAGGTAACTCAGTGAGGATTAGGAGAGGAGGCTCAACAAACTCTCCTCTCCCACAACTCTGAACAAGTGAGGCTTCTTAATGCTTTTATAGCACTTCAGGGAAGACCAGAAACAACTCACCAGTAGGAAAGCCACCAGTCCTGAAGGACATAGGCAACCTGGAAGAGGAAAACACAAAACAAAACAAAAAACCAGCATTGGCATGATTTATCAAGCCAACAAACCAAGTAACTAAAAATATACAGTCAAAAGGAGAAGGTTCTATAGTATTCACATGGTCCTTCTGGCTCTTGTCTGTGCCAAGCCTCTCTTTACAGAGAGGAGAGGGTCAAGAAAATACACTTGACAACCTAAAATCTTCATTAAGAAATCTGTTACTTTTCCAGAAGCTCTTTGTAATGTACATGCATCTCACTGATGCATGTCCCCAGCTCAACCCAAGTCCCAAGTGACCTGGACACTCCAGCACTCCTGGGGAGAAGGTGAAAACGCAATGTCATCTTCTACCTGAGCTGCCATGTTAAGCAGAACAAGGAAAATGATCATCAGCCAGGGGGCGCCAGCTGTGAAGTAATTCTTGTAGGCCTTAAAACCAATTTTTCCTTCAGAACGGCTCTCCTCAGACTGCACAACCTGGACATCCTCCATCTGTAAGAGACAGGAGGCAGAAAGAGACAAAATATATACAAAAGAGTTTCAGAAGCTGATAATACACCCTGCTGGGAAAACTACGAGAAAGAAGACCCATTATACACTAATGGTAAGAGCCCAAAATGGCCCATCTTCCATGGAGAAGTCCAGTCAAACCCTAACTGCGTCACCCTGCACCTAGACATGCCCTGCTCAGAGACTATCAGAGAAACGGAAGTAACTTCTATACATTGCAGCTTTCTTAACATGTGGCATCATGACTTCCAGCACATGCCTAGTGCAGCCAAGTTCAATTTATTAATATTAATTGACAAAAGGGTATGGTACTCTAGATTAGATATACCCCAGAATGGAGGGTTGGAGATGAGGTTCGGAGGCAGAATACATGCTGAGCATATGCAAGACCTGGATTAAGTCCCAACACCAAAGCAAAAATAAATATAATAATAACAATTATAGTAAACTGGTTAAGTAGAACAGAGGCTCAAAATGTTAGCCAAATACAAAAACAGCTGGAACACTACATCTGGGTAACAAGAGTTTAGGTAGCAAAGCAGAGCATAGCACCTCGGTCTATTTTTATTTTTTAATTTTTATATCAGATTCAACCAGGCTCCTGTATTTGGCTTCTGAGAGTTTAGACAGCAAGGCTGGCAAGGATCAGACTCTGCATCTTGGATTCTGCAACCACAGAATAAAAATTTTCAGGAGAAAAATAGTGAGTCTTGATTAAACACATAGAGATGTCTTTCCTTATCATTACTCCCCTAAACAATACATTATAACAACTATTTATATGGCACTTGTAGTGTTATTTCAAGTTGTCTAAAGATGTATTCAAATACATAGCAATAAATAAAGATATAGGTTACATGCAAATGCTATGCCATTTTATATGGCTGAATGGAACATCATCAGATTTGCATATCCATGGAGGGCCTAGAACCAATTATCAAGAGATGACTATTTTGAAGGAAGTTAGAGTACATTTCTGTTTAGAGAACTGAGATAGATTTCACATAGGCTGAAGATGTGGTTGGCTTTATGCAGGTTAGAGGGCATTCAAAGGTGGTAGCAGCCAGGTGTGGTAGTGGACACCTATAATCCCAGACATCTGGAAAGCAGAGCCAGGATTGCAATTTGAGGCCAGCCTACACTTCTTCCCAAAAAAGAAGACAAGAGTGATGGCTCACCCTTTTAGTCTCAACCATGTGAAAAGTGGAGGTAGGAAAATCAGTTTAAAACCAGCTGTGGCTCAAGTGGTAGACTGCTAGCCTGGAGCTGAAGAGCTCAAGGGCAGTGCCTAGGCCCAGAGTTCAAGCCCCACCACTGGAAAAAAATAATAATAATAACACCAGCCCGGGCAAAAGCATGAGATCTATCTAAAAAATAAACAAAAAGCAAAATGATTGGGGGGTATAGCTCTAGTGGTAGAGAGCTGAGGGTCCTGGGTTCAATTACACACACACACACACACGCGCGCGCACGCACGCGTGTGAACACACACAGTGTGACTCTCAGGCTAGAAGTAACTCTAAAGAATCTCCTCTAAAGGAACTAACTTGAAAGTCAGTTAGGTCCTTGTACATGCTCCTTCTGCCTGGACAAAAAGAATACAGTGGTAGACCAGTCCACTAAATAGGAGATGTAGTTGATTCCATGCAAGTCACAGCAGCTCTCTGGCTGGGAGGGGGAGAGGGGGAGGTTAGCAAATTCAGCCTTTGGTTGCAAAAGCAAAGCCTGGGACCACCAAAGCAAGTAGGATTTACCTACAGTAAGTTCCAGACTTCAGCTCAAATTCTCCTGAGCCACACAGGCCTTTAGAACATCTAACAACCTGCCCACTACTGAACTCCAGGAGATGAGCCACCCCACCACCAAAAGAGAGGCTACTAAAGGCTATCTCCCCTTCCTTCTGCTTCAATTCTACCAATACCACTGCATAAGGCTTGGGAGCTGCACATGAAGACTCATGGGGAGAATCAGCTGATGACTTGTGAGACCCCAAAGAGCCAACAAAGCCAGGCCTGTTGTGACCAGAGAGGACTCACTTCTTGGCCCTCTGGGACGCCATCTTTCAAAGAAAGTTTAGAAGAGTGCTGAGACCAAATGGAAGACTCTGAGAAGGTGCGATTCCTCAGCGTGGGAGTCCCAGGCGCTGGAGACGGCTCCGCTTCCTCCTGTTCCTTCTTTAAAAGGGACCCAAAATCGACTCCAGATTTCAGAAACTCAGTGTAGGTTCCTTTCTGCACCATTTCACCCTAAAATGCAAATACTTTCAGAGGGACACATTCATGTGAGTTCACACGTGAGCTGTCTCAGATAATTCACCGTGATAACAATACTGACAGGACATAGTCAAACATTTGAAGGTACAAAGGGATTGTTTCTGACCTTCAATGAGGGATCTGACCCAGGGAGAGTCAGAGAGACAAAGCACAAAGGGATGGATCAAAGCACCCAAACTCTTGAGAAATTCTCACTATCCTCACATCCAAGATGGGAGGTTTCTCATGGATTAAATGGTAATGCATAAAAGATCTGTTCATGTCCCTCAATCCTGTGTATGTGATTACATTTGGAAAATAGGATATTTACAGATGTAGTCATGCTAACATGAGAGCATGCTGGGCCCTGGTGGCTCGCGCCTGTAATCCCAGCTACTAAACTAAAGAAACTGAAATCTGAGGATCATGGTTTGAAGCCAGCCTGGGACAGGAGAAGTATGAGATGCTCATCTCTAATTATCCAGCAAAAGGCCCTAAGTAGAGCTGTTGGCTCAAGTGGGAGAGTGCCAACCTTGTACCCACCTTCCCAGACTCACTCAGCCCTAGCCCGGGGTCTCCCTACCAGCTTCTTCAAAATCATGTCAGGACCATGTCACCGCCCCCACCCCACACCTACTTCAGATGCTCCTTTCCTCGGGGGATGGCATGGCTGGCACCTTCACATCACTACTACTTGGTCCCCAGGAAGCTGCCCTGCCTCTGTGTCTCCTTTGTCAAGAATGGAAGCCCCAGCAAGGCGGCGGTGGCTCAGGCCTATAATCCTAGCTACTCATGATCTGAGGATCATGGTTCAAAGACAGCCTAGGCAAGAAAGTCTGTGAGACTCGTATCTCCAATAAACCACCAGAAAACTGCAAGTGGCACTATGGCTCAGTGGTAGAGCACTAGCCTTAAGCTGAAGAGCTACGAGACAGCGCCCAGGCCCAGAGTTCAAGCCCCACTACTGACAGAAAAAAAAAAAAAAAAGAATGGAAGCCCCACAAGGTCAGCAGCTTGCCTCGACAAGGTCCCTGGGAGGCGGGAGGGGAAGTAGGAGAGGGAAGGAGGGACGCTCATGACTGGAAATGCCAGGGAAGCGGGGTTCTGAGCGGGGCACACTCAGCAACCCACTGTGTTTCTGCTATTAACAGAAGCTGTTGTGTTTTGTTTTTTTAGACAAGCTGGAGATAACATTCAAATGGATTCAAACATGCCTTACTGTCATTTCCAAATGATCTACTTTGCCATAAAGCATGGAACAAAGGAAACAAAAATGGCTAAGGAAGATGGCACCCTCATCATGAACAAGTTCACCAGGACAGTTGTAATGGTGTAATGTGAAGCAGCAATTGCGTACAGTTTAGAATAATTACAGCAGGGAATGAAACAGTGGCAATGCTACAGATCCTCTGAAAGCATCCTCAAAGACATGAATCTCAGCTCTAAGGAAGGGACATGCAACTGAGGGAGTTTTCCAGGCAGGGGAACCTGCCAGAGAGGGCACCATGGAGTGCCAGCAAACTTAGGGAACGTCTAGAAACTACTTACATCCTTCAATATCAGAATCTGGCTGGCAGCCCTGAGGTACTGCAACTGATGTGTCACTAAAATTGTGACCTTCTCATGCAATGTCTGACAAATGCACCTGGAAATGTAGAAGGCACAGGGTGAAAAAATATGCGTCAGTAAGGGTGGTCCAGATAGGAAATAACAGTTCAAGCCATAACGAGACAAAGAGCACAGCTGTCAATGATATGTCATTCAAATACAGATGTAAATGCAAGTTAACTGAAAATACAAATATAAATCAGTGATACCAACAGGGATTCAAGCTTACTAGCAAACAATCTGGAGTCTCAGTCTGGCAAAGGAGACAGTGACTGCTGACATTTCCCTAAAATTCCATTTAGCAATTATTCTGATATTTCATGATAAAAGCAATTGAGCAATACTGAAGATTCCAAAACATGACTTATATAAAATATGACCTCATTGCCTTGTAGCAATGAGAGTGACAGATCGACATTTTTTCCCCTGATAATCATATCCTAGGTGATTACGATCAGAATCCAAGACTCGAGATTCTAGATATAAAAACATGATGCCAGAGGGCTTTTACCGTTTTCCTTCTGGCATATCTTGGTTTGGCTTACTTCACACCAATGTTTCTCAACCTACTTAAACCCCTCTGCAAGTACAACACCACGCTTTCTGGCTTTGGTGGTACTAGGGTTTGAACCCAGGACCTTACACTTGCTAAGCAGGTGTTCTACCATTTGAACCATGCCAGTTCTTTTGGTTTCCTGCATTATTAACAGGGTCTTATTTGCTGCTCAAGCCCACCTCAGAGCCAAGATCCTCCTACCTAAGCCTGCCAGGTAGTTGGGACTAGCTGTGACCACCCCTGCTTGTTTCTGTGTCCAGATGGGCCACAGAGCATGGTCCTCCAGATCTCCACTCTCAGAGTAGCTGGGATTACAGTCAGAAGCCACCGAGCCACACTCACACTGTTAACAGAACGGTTTCTCCTTAATTCAAAATTAACTGTCATTGACTTACAAATGTCTGAAGGGAAAAGTTAACAATTGAATCTGATGGGCTGTTATGTTCCAGAAGGCCCAAGTCAAAGGTTTCACAATGTTTTCTTCCCAACATCTCCCAGCATGGACAAGATTATAGAAATAATTATCTTATTGTCATTGGTAGCTTTAATTTTTTTCCTAAACTGGCTATTTTCCCCAAAATGTGCAGGAAAATAGTTCCCAAATGCTTGAGATTCAAAATGCCCAACGAAATTAGAAACAAAAAGTCTTAAAGAGACATGTTCTTGCTTTGTTGCCCATGCCGGCCCCAAAATACTGGGTTTAAGGGATCCTCCTGCCTCAGTGTACCAAGTAGCTGGAACTACAGATGCATACCTTCATGCCATAAAAACTAGTTTACCGGGGGCTGGGAAGGTGGCTCAGTGGTAGAGTGCTTGTCTTGCATGCCTGAGGCCCTGGGTTCGATTCCTCAGCACCACATAAGCAAAAAGAAAAAAAGCCGGAAGTGGCGCTGTGGCTCCAGTGGTAGAGCGCTAGCCTTGAGCTGAAGAGCTGAGGGACAGCGCCCAGGCCCAGAGTTCAGGCCCCACGACTGGACCCAAAAACAACAACAACAAAAAAACTTGTTTACCAATGAGCCACTGAATTCTGATCCTATACAACAGTTACGAAGAGTCAAATACACCATGCTGGAGGTGAATACATAGGAAAGTTGGCCCCTACCGGGACTCATTTGGTTGTCACACATTCCCTGAGCAAGTACCCCAACAGCTGAGGATGCAACCTGTGGCTGAACAAACAGACAACGGGATCAGCAAGAGGAGCAACACTGCCACGAATACTGAAAATACAGCATCAGATCATAAGCATGAGCTCTGAGGGCAAACCAAGGTGTGATCTGCTACTGTGGAGGGAAGAGGAGTAGAAGGCCTTTCTGCAAAGAGGTGACAAAGGAGCCCCAAGTCTACCTGAGGGAGCTGAGGGTACAGCAAGAGCAATGGCCCTGGAACTCCTTCAGACACTCAAAGCCCCATGTAGTGGAACACAAGACATGGAGGTCACCCAAACCCTCAGAAGACCATGGTGTTCCCTGCCTGAGCAGAGGGAGAGGCAGGCAGGAGGCTTGCACCCTTCCTTTCTCCTAGATCTGACACATGGTGGGCCAGCTCTGCCTTCAACAGAAGAAACACTGAGACAGGCAGTCATGACACGGGGTGCACTGGATGGAGGGGATGTCGTAAGCTGCCATGGTTGGAGTACTAGTTGGTGTGGGAAGAAATGGAAAGGTGCACAGTCTGCCGATTGCAAAGAACCCTTGATGGCCAGGCGTGGACTTTAAACCACATCCTGAAGTCAAGGGAAGTCTGTGAAGGAAAATAGAGACGTGAACTTCTGCTGTGGTCAGAATGATTTCATTCCTCTCCAGATTCTCACACAAGGACATGTCTCAGGTGAAGGGGCCCTTTCATGAAAAGCTGCCTTTGTGACTAGAATCAGTGTCCTTGTAGAAAGAGGCTTGAGATGGGTCACAATAGCCAAAGCTATGGAAACAGTGCAGATGTCCTACAACAGATGAGCACAGGAATACAATGCGGTACATATACATAACGGAACTGTACTCCTCCATTAGAAGGAATAAGATTACGCCATTTGCAGGGAAATAGATGGATCTAGAGCAAATCATGTGAAGTGAGGTAAGCCAAGCACAGAGAGACAGATGGCACATTTTCTCTCATGACTGGACCTGGTAACCTATACAGGACTCTAGGTATCCACACTCACATACTCAAGACCAAAGGAGGAGACCCTCATGGGAGGAACTCGAAGGTGTAACTGCTCTGAATATTTACAATACTTTTTATCAAAACAAATTCTAGGAAATAGAAACCTGGTGTTTTTTGCTGTTGGTGGTAGTGGCAGTATTGGGGGTGTTTTTTGCTTTTGGAGTTTTGACGGGGGGGCAAATAGGGAGTGCAGAAACAGGGATGGAGGATGAACAGATGCAATCATGATATTCAGTATATACTGTCTTGAAAATGAACAGGTAACTCATGAGCAGTGACAGAAGGGAGAAAATGGAAGAAAGCAAAGAAGGGGTAACGTCCAAAGGAAGAAATGTACCCAATACTTGACTTGTGAAATGATAACTCCTCTGTATAGCACCTTAACAATCACACACACAAAAAAAAATTTTTTAAAGAAGACTACCCTTCTACCCTGTAAAGGCAAGGATGGAGATTTATGAAGCAGGTACCAAATCTGCTAGAACCTTGACCTTAAACTTCTCAATCTCTACTACTGTGACAAAAGCATCTCTGCTGTTGATAAGCTACCCAGTGCGGTCTTCTGCTATAGTTGTGTAGAAGGACCACACTGGTACCAGTGTGGGTGCTCTAATTAGTCCAACTCCAAAGTGCTGATTGTGGAGGAAGGCAGGGTACTGAGAATTCAGGGCTAAGTCAAGCTCCACAAGGAACAAGAGATCAGACTGACATCTATTCATCTACAGCCCGAGGCTTCCGTGTATAAGAGAGACTACTTCATGTTCATGACATAATAGTTGTAAAACCCGAAAAGTCTAATAACCACTGGATGTATATTCATGACCGAAATACAACTGTTAATGGCAAACAGTAGTGTTAATTCATTCACTTTTAATACAAAACACTTCACATTTTTTCAACACAACCGCCATCTTTCAGTGCAGATTGTTCAATCCAATTTTCTAACTCGTTGAGAACATTCTCCAGTTGCTGCTGAGTGATTTCCTAAATTGCATTCCAGCTCCCTGCTCTAAGACCCCCGCCCCCCCCACCAAGAATGTAGTTCTGATTAGCAAACAACATTTTTAACAAGTTAGCTTCTATCGAGTGTATATCCAAAGTCATTAAACCTTAAAGGTGAGAGAAGACTTTATAAACACTTCTGTGTTCAAAGAGATACTTGGGGTAGGGGGAAGCCAGTGCTATGCATACTCATACTCAGCAAACTAGAATGCCTTTCTCCATCTTCTACTTGGGGGTCCAGTAGGAGTTGATCTTCCAGAGATGGAAAACTTGGGACTGGACCCACCAGGCTCACATAGGCAACAAAGTGCCATCTCTGCCCATAGGAAAATCCACCACGTTACTATGGGAGTGGGTGGGAAAGGAGGGTCAAAGCAGAGAGCTGAGCCAAAGGCAAAGTGCCAGCTACTTCCGTTTTCTGCTCTCTGCCTTCTCAAACACTCAATGCCACAACGCACTTCTTATTTTTTACTGTGACAGACACAGGTTGAAATTTGCCATTTCAATCTGATTCCACTGCAGAATTCAATGGCAGGAAGCATACGCATGTCATGCAACAATCACTACTATCTACTTTCCAGAATTTGTTCCATCACCCCAATACTAGGTACATTCTTCCCCCCACACCCTCCCAGAATGCCCTGCTCAGTGGATAACCTCATGTTCCAATCCTAGAATGGAGCCTGGAGATGGGAGATTGTCACATTGCTACAATCTGCCTTTACTTTGCTATTTAGGACCTGTTATGAGTCACACACACACACCCTCTTCCACCCCAAAGTGTTATGCTAAAGCCCAATGACTGCATCCTTTAAGTGAACAACAGAATATTTAGACAGGTGATTAATTAAAGAGGGGCTGATGGCTCACACCTGTAATCCTACCTACTCAAGAGGCTGAGATCGGAGGATCATGGTTCAAAGCCAGCCAGGGCAGAAAAGTTTATGAGACTTATCTCCAATTAACCAGCAAAAATGCCAGAAGTGGAACTGTAGCTCAAGTGGTAGAGTGCTGAAAAAGCTAAGCGGCCAGGCCCTGAGTTCAAGGTGAGGAAAGGGTGAAGACAAGGAGGAGGAGGAGGAGGAGGAGGAGAAGTAAGAGGAGGAGGATGTGGAGGAGGAAGAGAAGAAAGAACAAGAAGAGGAGGAGGAAGAGGAAGGGGGCAGCCTGTAAGGTAGCCTTCATCAACCTGACTCAGTGTCCCTCTAAGAAGACCTAGACACTTCAGGAGGAAAGATGACAGGACACGGCCAGGTCACTGTCACAAGCCAACCAGAGGCACCACATACTTCATCTCAGATTTCCAGCCATCCAACCAGGAGAGAAAACTCTGTAGGTAGAATTTTGTCTTGGCAGCCTGAGGCAAATACCACAGAACTTTACAGTTCGCATTTCTAAATGTTTTTGCGTACTGTATCACCCACTTCACTGCTAGACAACAGCCTGCCTACTTCCTGTCTGCAAGGCCCCTGCCCACCATGCCCTTTGCTGGTTCCTGGATATAAACATAGTGAGTGGTATATATAGCTTACACCAAGTTCCCAGGGCTCAACTCTTGAAACCATATAACACAAATTATCCTTAAATTCTAGAATTCACTAAGTATTTCCAAAGCTACAGACCAATACCAGGCCTTTCCACAGAGGCTCTAATTAATCAGGACTGTTTAAAAATCAAACAGCTTACAGCCCATAAACAAATGACAGAGTATCAACAAAGTGACAATCCATAACTAGGCACTGGTGGCTCATGCCCATAATCCTAGCTACTCAGGAGGCTGAGATCTGAGCATTGTGGTTGAAAGCCAGCCTGGGCAGCAAAGTCCATAAGACTCTTATCTCCAGTTAACCAGCAAAAAAAGCCAGACATGGAGGTATGGCCAGCCTTGAGTGAAAAAGCTAAATAACAGTCTAAGGCCCTGAGTTGGAGCCCTACTAACTGGCACAAGAAACAAACAAATAAGCAAGCAAATAAATAAGCAAAAGAAGTGTCAGCCAGCGCCAGGCTGCTGAGTAAATGAACATCGTGGCTTTTCTTCCTCGGATCTAGATCCCTGACCGTTTCTTAGTTATTCTCCACATGTAGCAGGGGTGTCAGACAAAACGTAATTCCCAGACAGGAGAGCGCTACTTGCTTCCTGACTTTCTGATAGTGACCTCATGTTCACATCAATACTTTTCTCTGCAAAATTCTTGCCTACAAATGAATGGGCTCTGAGGAGCCAGAGCGAGGAAGGGAAGAAGGCCACAAAGTAGCAGGAGCTAAATCTGAGCCAACCAGAAAGGGAGACAAACTCACAGCTGGAACAGGTGCTTGCCGACTTCTGCATCCACAGCACTGAGCGGGTCGTCCAGCAGGTAGATGTCTGCATCTTGATAGACGGCTCTGGATAACAGAGAGAGGACTCAGACGGAAGCATTCCCTCCGCTACCCACTTCTTCTGGGATCTTCCCAACATCCCCAACTGGACTTTCATTGGGTTGCCAATGGAATAGCCCCACACCCAAACTTCCCAGGGCTCCTCAATGCAGCGAGCAGGCCCTGAGATTTTGCCCCCTTTCCTGCCCTGAGACACGCGTGGAGCAGCCACAGAAAGCCCATTACCTCGCAAGGTTCACCCGCGCTTTCTGCCCTCCACTCAGTGTGGCTCCTCGATCTCCAATGACGGTCAGGTCTCCATCCTCCAAAAGCTGTAAGTCCTGCATTTGGACAGAGGCAGGAAGAGAAAAGGCCATGGGAAAGTGCTCAAGTCTCCTCGTAATCTTCACAAGATCTTTCTTTCATCAGACATCCTGCGAGAACTTGATCAACAACAAAGCATTGCAGAGAGACTCACTTACAACCTTTCAAAAACACCCTAGGTGTTTTCATGTTGTACCTTGGTTTTGTTTTTTTATCCCCCTCACAGAATTTTAATTATTTTAATGGCTATTTGCTGAATGTCAACTATGAGCCAGAAGATTGTCCTGGCTACAGGGACTGTAGCCATGAAAGAAGCAACTGAGACCAATCTCCAGAGCTACACAGGCAAACACAGAATAGAAAGGAACAGTTGGATGTCCTTACCCCAGAGAGACAGCTAGTGCCTAAAAGACTGATCAGCTGTTATGACTCAGAAAGGTGACCCAGTGCTCATCAGCATTTGTTCAGTTACCATAGGAGTAAAACAGCAGCGTGTGTGTATGTGTGTGTGTGTGTGTGTGTGTGTGTGTTTTCACAGAAGACTAGCCTGAAGTATTAAATAACAATTATAAAATTTCTCAGAACGAATTCTTTTTGCTACTTTATTGGTACAGTACTAGAGTTTCCTTGGTCACGCTGGTGCTCTACCGTTTGGCCATGCCTCCAGCCTTTTTTGCTGATTATTTTGGGAGATGGGAATCTTTCAGACTTTTCTACCCCAGGCTGCCTTCAAACCTCCTCAATCATCAGATTGCAGCCTCTGGAGCAGCCAGGATTATAGGTGTGAGCCTCCTGTGCCTCTATGGAAATCTTGTCGTTCAGGCAATACTACGACCAGAAGCTGAGCATAAGAAACGTAACCGTTGTCACTCACCTTTTTCAAAGCGCAAGCCTTTAGTACTTTCTCATAGCGCTCCTTCTCATATTTCTTCCCAAACAAAATATTACTCCTCACAGTCCCTGAGAACACCCAGGGCTGCTGGGAGACGTAGGCAATTCTTCCGTGCACGCTGACCAGCCCCTGACTCGCAGGCAGCTCCCCCAGCACGGCACTCAAGAGCGAAGACTGAAACATGTCACAAACAAATGCCTACGGTCAGCACAGGGGCGGGGAGAAGGGAAGGAGGGCGGCCCACGGGAGAGTGCGCACAGGGAAAATGCTGTACCGCAGGCCCAGCCTGGGGAGTCAGCTAAGACCAGCCTCTCATTTCAAGTAGATTGAAATAAGAACATTGAGCAGATCATTATGGGGTGGTGTAAACCGATGTTTTGTAAAAGAGTATTAACAAAATACACCTCTAGTCCCCCTAAGCAAGTTTCTCCCAGATGGAATACTCGGTAGAGCTGTTACCTGTGATTAGGAAAGCTGTATGAAATGCTATGGGTGATGATGACTGCAGCCCACACAGAACTGATGCTGAAGGAAGCCACTGCCACAGCCAGTTACCCTTCAGTTTAGCAAGGACTTGGTCCAGAAAAGCTCTGAATAAGTAATATACCCATCGTTATTATGCATGGGGAAAAGTTTATTAAAATTAGAACTCTGGAGAGCAAAAATCCATCCTGGAAGCAAGGATTCACCCTGCCATCTACACCCCCTACATTTAGATTCCTATTCTTTGCTGTTTAAGAAGGTGTGGCACTAAGTGTCCATACATGGCTCCTTCAAGTCTTTTACCTCACACAGATGTCATGAGTCTCTCTGCCTGCTACTCTGAGTGCTTGGAGCCCTGAACTCCTTTGCCTATCTGCCTATCTGCCTGGAAGCTTCTGGTGAGATATTAGGGTTCGGCTTTTCTGCGTATCTTCATCAGAAGATATGTGCAGGGTGCCAGTGGCTCACACCTGTAATCCCACCAAATCAGAGGGCTCAAAATCATGCCACCTGCATTCTCCTGCGAGAAGGTAAGACATCCTACGCTGTTACAACAAGCTACCAGAAAGCATGACAAGCCTACCTTGCCTGCTCCCACGGGGCCGATCACAGCTAACAATTCACCAGGTCTGACAGTAAAGGACAGGCCTTGGAGGGTTGGTGTATCTAATGTCTACAAAAAAAAAAAGAGCCCATTTTAATTTTAGTAAAGTAAGACAAAACATTTCAAAGAGTGGAGAAAACACAACAATGATCATCAATACAAGAACACAGCCCACATCTTTTTTTCCTTCTCCTCCTTTTTACATAGTGTATACTGCGTTTCAATCACCCAGTGATATGTCTTGGGGGTCTGTAGCAATTGGACAGCTTTGGTAGATTAGGAAGGCTATTATTTCCTTGTACTGGGTTTCCTATGAAAGCAGCCACCAACATCCACAGCTTTTCAGTAGCACACACAGGCGTTTCTTGGTTCATTCAAACTTCCTGACTCAAACTTCTAAATAGAATATTCAGCACCTGCAGTGTGTCTTACTATGATCCCTCGTTTCTATCTCTGTACTCTCCACAAGGTGGCAGCAGAGGCTTGTGGCACACTGGACCCTGACTACTAAAACAATGTGAAATCTTTACAAATCTTTATTTGATAGAGAATAAATCTCAGCAATGCTCTATGAGCAAGAAGATGCTTTCTGTTATAAATGTAAATATAAATATAAATGATTCATACAAATGATGGCCCACAGTGCAACTAACTTCACAATGCAAATCATGTCCCAGTTCTTTACATGAAGTACACCTTACCTATCATCCTGGCCAACAACAGTAGACACAGAACACTATTACTATGAAGTCCATAGAGGTATGTGCTACAGTATCAGTCCAACATTCATTTACTATTCAAACTACAAAACTAACCAGCTATCCACCCTAAGATGAAGAGAGTGAAAACCAGGAAGACTATGACTTTACATAGTATAGGCTGAGCAGCCCTTATCTAAAACCCTCAAATATGAACTTCTCCCAAACCTGAAATTTCTGGACATCCCATTCAACAGCTAAGGTTGCTGTGCAAAATCACCTTCACACTATGTGCATATGAAAAACATGTAGCTGAAGTTCATGTTTTGGGGTACCACTCCCCATTGGGGTCCCCTATCCAAAATTCTTCATTATGTTCCAAAATCCAAAAGCTATCAGAAATTTGTAATGTTCTTGGTCTCAACCATGAAGGTACACACAAGGATAAAGGCACACTCAACCTGTATGAAATTTTGAGAAAATCCTGGGTAATATTTAATGGTTTTAGGGGAAAAAATTGTTTTGTAGTGTCTCGGATCAACTTCTTCCTTAAGAGGCCAAATCAAATTCATACCTTCTAAACAGAACTTCCCAATATTACAAAACAACTGAGAGGATTAAAATATGCACTGATAAGCCAGTATAGGCGGTTCATGACTACGTAATCCTAGCTACTCAAGAGGCTGAGATCTGAGGATAGCAGTTCAAAGTCATCCCCGGCAAGAAAGTACATGAGATTCTTATTTCCAAATTAACCATCAGTGGCTCAAAGTGATAGAGCACCAGCCTTGACCAAAAACACTTTAGGACAACACCCAGGCCATGAGTTCGAGCCCTACAACCGCCAAGGAAATAATGCATTGGGAAACAAGGGGGAGGATTTGCACCATAAGCCTAAACAATGTTTTCCTTACCCATTCAATAATAGTAAAAGTAAGATGGTACAAATAAGAATTGGTTTAAATTGAGTGGAGAACCTCAGTAGTAGTAATCACCAAGCATAAAAACTTTCCTTCAAATCCAGATGTCAACACTATTAGAATAAATCTAAAGCCAGGCTTTACACCTGTAATCTTAGCTAGTTAGGAGACTGAGACTTGACAATTGTGGCTCAAAGCCAGTCTAGGTATAAAAGCCTATAAGCCTCTTTTATCTCCAATGTTCAAAGAGCTAGAAGTAGCAGCTGGGCGCTGGTGGCTCATACCTATAATCCTAGCTACTCAGGAAGCTGAGATATAACAGTTCAAAGCCAGCCCAGGCAGGAAAGTCCATGAGACTCTTATCTCCAATTAACCAACCAAAAAAAAACAAAAAACAAAAAAACAGGAAATTGCACTGTGGCTCAACTGGCAGACCTTTTGCCTTGAGCTGAAGAGCTCGGGAACAGTGCCCAGGCCCAGAGTTCAAGCCCTAGTCCTAGAACAAAATCAATAAACCTAAGAAACAATAGAAGAAAACTGACAGTGAGGTCAAATGGATGATGTTTGAGAACCTGCGGGGGTTCCACAGCTAGACTCTTCATCCATATGCTCCACAGGACGGATCTCAAAGGCTTGACTCTGAACCAAATACCTGAGAATCCAGCAAACTTATGAGTCCCAAGCCCTTGCCCTGTGCTTGTCAAAAGGTAAGATCATGTCAGGTGGTCCTGGGTTTGAGTTCTAAGGTTGAGGGGAGGAGTCAGACACGGGGGCTTTCAGAGGGAAGCTGAGGTGAAATGAAGGAACACTTTTGGGATTTTCTCTTCTGCCACAGGAGGGAAAAATGATCAAGGGTGTATCAAAAGAAACACAGCTTCTTGAACTCTAGAAAAGGATCCTTCACCACAGAGCCTGGCACCCTGAAAAGCAGAAGCCTCTAAAATAAGAGAGGCCTGTATAAAATAGTTTAAACCCCTGCAGGAAGATCAGGCCCCAGGCCTTGCTTCACTGTAACCACAAGGGGGCAGCATTTGATGGCTCCAGGAGCTTGGGGGGGCATTTCAGTGGGGGGTAGCTGTCTGTGTAAATACCAGTAGTGGTGCTTGAACCTGGGGCCTTGATGCTGTCCCTTGGCTTTTTTGCTCAAGACTGTCACTGTATCACAGAGATAAGAAGTAACAGTCTCATGGACTTTTCTACCTAGGCTGGTTTCGAACCACGATCCTCACCTCCCAGCCTCTTGCGTAGCTAGGATCGCAGAAGTGAGCCCACCAGCACCTGGCTTATCCTTAACTTTCTACTGACTGCAAGCCTTACTCATGACTTGGAGAACGTTTATACGGTGTGTTTTCATCACATGAGCCAGTCACCTTTTAGTCAATGTGTAACATTTCAAAATTCTGTTCCATCAATGTCACCCAGTATCTCTTGGGAGTAACAACCTTATCATGGAGAATCTGTTACCTTGTCCCAGAAGGCAGTGAAATCCTGCACATGCACGAGGGCTTTACAGTCTGGCGGTGGCAGGGTTTTGCGCTGTGAGATCTCATCAAGTAATAGAAAGTTCTGGGGCAGGGGGAGAAAAACAGAAATTATATAAACTGCAGAAACAAAAGCACAAACAAAACTCAGTAATACATCTCTATGTCTAACAGATTTACTGATCATTTAAATAATGGTATAAAAATACCAACTCCCATCCAAACATGCTCTCTATTAACTGGAAGTGGAGAAGAGAGAGACTGAGAGAGAGGAAGAGGGAGAGAAAGGGGAGAGGGGGACCCTGGAGGGGTAGGGGAGGAGATAGATATCCTCGCCTTAGGAGAACTGCTGAGCACAGGCAGAAATGAACATTTTTAATGATTTGGTTTGTGTTTCTAACAATAAGCTTGGGGGCTGGGAGTGATTTGTAAATATATACTGGATCATGCCAGAGGCCAGAAGCAGAGTAGAGGGTCATTCCTCACTCTTCAGCAATGGAGTCAGGCCAGAAGTTCAGGCTTGAGACATAAGACACTTGGCAGAGAAAGAAGGATGGACTCTTGTCAGTCTGTCTGGATACCTAGGCAGTTAGACTTACTGCCTTTCCCTCTCTCACACATGTCACATTGACATATCCTAATTTGTCACTACCACTTACATGATCAAATCTAAGTAACACACCCTTATCTAGTTAAGTTTCTAGCTCCTAAAAGAAACATATTTTAGATACCTCTTTTGCAATCACTTGCCTTTTTCCATAGTAAGTCTCCTCCTCTTTGACAGCAGGAATGACTTCATCTTCTACTACCTATTTTCTGCCCTAGTTAGTAGCCAGGCAACATGATTTAATTGACTAAAACAAATTCTTTCTGATCATTACAATCTAACATAATGATGATAATAGAAAAACACCTTCCTGTTCCTCAGACACCAGACCATTTGTAAAGCAACAGTGACACAGAAAGTAGACGATCAAGAACGTTCCCATCTGTCTCCCCTTGTTTTTGAATGGTCCAGAATGAGGACCACTCTTGGGTAGCCTCCCCGGTCAATGTATGGTCAGTGACTCAAGCTAGGGCCTAAGGAAATGAGCTTCTTCCACCCCGCCCATGGCCTCAAAGACTGCCCTCTAGGGGAAGGACATGCACAGTGGAGCAAGGAGAAATACGGGTTCCTAATTCTACAGAGCATCACACTAACCTAGAACTTGAAATGGGGTGGACTGAGTCCTCCCCTCTGTGATGTGAAATGTGTCCCCTCTAAAATTCAGATGTTGACATTTAACAGCCAATAAAGTATTAAGAGGCAAGTCTTTGGAAAGTGGATATAACTTAATAATAAAGCATTTATCCAGCATGTGTGAGGCCCTATGTTTGCTCTCTAACATCATGCACTCTCTCATATATATATATATATATACACACACACACACACACACACACACACACACAGAGGTGGGTCTTTTAAGAGGTGATTAAACCACAAGAGCTCCCCTATTATGAGTGGGATTAAAGCTCTTTTATAAAAGGTTTTCGTGAGGACTATTCTTCCACCTTCCGCCATGAAAACACGGTATTCCTCCTTTCCCTTCCAGAGGGTAGAGCAGCAAGCAACCCTCAGCAGACCACCAAACCTGCCAGCACCTTGACCCTGAATTTGCCATCCTCCAGAACCAGGGAAGGGGGGAAAATCTACTCTTTAGAAATTACCCAGTCTGGAGAAGATCTTTACTAGCCATACAACGGACAAGAGTCTCATATCTAAAACATACTTGGAACTCAAAACATGAAATCCCCCAACAACAAATCCTCAAAAAAACAACTGCCCAATAAATAAGTGGGCGAAAGACTTAAAGA